CCCCTGGGTTCAAAGCCGTATAATATGACCACTGAACCACAAAATTAGCGCACTCTGATGTCTAGCTCCCATACTACAAGATTTCTGGCTCCCCCGGTCGGTTATTGGGAGCTTCCATACATTATCATTGTATGGGCTATCTATGTATATTTAATCAATGATCATGTAAGAAAAAAGTGTACAGAAAAAATGGTAATATAAACTGTTATATTTTAAAATATTATAAAATATTTAAGATTCGAATATATTCTATAGGTATACGATATTTTTTTATAAGTAATTAAAGTTAAAATGTTGGCAAATCAATTTATCAGTCAAGAACATTTGCTGACAAATAACATTGGTTTTCTCCTTGGCCTCCTCGCTCAGTGGAATCTGCAAGAACCCGTTGGAGAGGTCCAACCGTATAATACTGCGCCGACCCGCTTCGTTGTTGTCGTCGTCGAACAATCATCTTCAGACCTGTCGCCAACCAACATCGCGGTATACCATTCCACATATCACGGTCGTATCGTCTTATTATTTATTATAATTATTGTACTGCAACGTGGCCCCGTGACCTAGTTACGGCCTTATTAATAGTTATTACTTTGTAATACGTACACATACGTGTGTTTGTTGTTCATAATATCATTAATTTCACTGTGGAGACGTCCACCCTTTTTTTAAATTATTTAATATTTATTATTATTATTATTATTATTGTTAATAACAATTGATTGTTACATATTATTATATTATCACTTTTATATCAGCGATTGGAGTTATCCTTTATTATAGTATTAATATCCTACAAATGTAAGTGCGAGTCATTGGGGCTAACTGTTTAATAAGAGTCTCATTGGCGAACAGTAACTACATAGTGATATGCGTCAAAATGACGAAGTTAGTAGCACAAAATTGCGGAAGCTCCGCGTGAAGTGGAATACATTGGCATTGAGTGACACCTTTCACTTAAGTTACTCGTTGTTGAGAGAGTCCTGTCACCTCTATCCTGCTCCTGATATGCCTTAAACCAAGRCGAGTGGCACATTGGGAAGTGATCGCCGGAATTTGGGAACCACTGTCTAAAAGAAGGCGTACCGTTTGTAATTTTCCCACGTTGTCCAAAACACTCAAAATAGCTGTACCTAAAATAACAGTGGCTTCAGTACGCACAGTTCCCGAGAACTTGACTTGATTTTCAATAAATAATTGCAGTTGTCCTTTTTTCCGCCGACTCCGCTCCCTCCGTCGAACATTCGACGTCTCCGTGCAATACTGACAACGCTGGCTTCGCGTAGTCTATATGTAATAATGTGCTATTTTTGCCACCACAACTCCAACACTTGATGCAACCTTTGATTGTCACTTGATRCAACCTTCTGATCTAATTGGATTGCCTTTCCAAAATGACGGCACTCGTACAGCGATGCGGTTGAYGTACGAGTTTTGTGGCACATCGTTTATTTTTGATTCATCGTGTTGGTCATCTTAGCACTGTTCGTTGAAGTTCTTTTTAGTCAAGGTCACCAATTATCGTTTTATATGTCATAAAAATGTTAACAAATCAAATATTAAGTAACTTTATAGTTTGGCTATCATAGGGATAATTGTACGGTTCACCCTCTCAGCTTGCCCATTGGCCCTAGGTGTACCAGTAGCAATATGAATAAGTTGAATGTTATTTTCATTCATAAAATCTTTAAATAAAGCTGAAGTAAAACAGTAAAAGTACAACCTCTATCTGAAATAATCCTAATAGGTCGATTGTAACAATTAAAATAAATCTTTAGATGTTTAACGACTTCATTACTGTTGGTAGTTTTAGAAGGGAATAATTTCACAAATTTAGTAAACGCATCAGTTACTAAATATATGTATTTATATCCACGAGGTGCCTATAGTTTATGTAATACATTTTTGATGTCATAAAATGGTTTTGAGGGTAAATAGATTCTGGATTTTTAAAACGTAGGGTAGTTGTACACATTCATAACATAAATACGCGATTTATTTATTAACCAAAAAATATTACACTACCTAYTTTAAATTTTAATTATAAAAATACAGACGAAACAGTAAGCATTTTTTTCACTACCTAAGTCTCCATTTCAAAATTCTGTTTCTGATTGTATTCTCTAATTTGATTAATATTTTAATCTATGTATTAACAAGTTTTGAATTCTTCTTTTTCTTTGCATT